CACATGTTTCATCTTGGAGAAGCGCCACACTGACAAGTTGGACTTCTTACTTGCTAAGTACCATAGAGTCCTATCGGCAGGGAAGATGAGATGGGCGACGGCGGAGGGAGAGAGGAGGTGCAAGACCACGGACGAGATTTTCAGGGAATGGCGTCTTGAGAGGACGGCGGACATCTTGAGAATTAGGAGATTGCGCCGGCACCAGACATGGGCGAAGTTTCCAGCAGACCATGGGGGTGTGTTGAGCGCGGTGTTCGGCACGTCAGGAGTTAGATGATCTATTACAAGTAGAACGTTTGAGTAAGAGTGGTAATGTAACAGCACATTCGACGCCCTGGGCTCACCAGTTCTTAGAGGACATGCGGGCTCTGGCAGAGGTGGACGAGAACATTCGAGAGTAGTTTGAATCGAGAGCGAGCGACATTAGCATGTTTATTGAGGGCACGTACGAGCACGCGCGGTGGTTAGAGGCGGACCCGTCTATCCTTAGCAGTGCAGCTCGGCAGTGGCCCCAACCCGAAGCTCGAGCAGACCCTACCCCAGCAGAGGATGAGGAGTTAGGGAAACCATTCTTGTGCGATTTCCAGGAGGAGGACGGAGATGGAGGGACGAGAACGCGCGGGGCTAGATTTCGCACGCCTGCAGCACTAGCGGCACTCCGCAGGGAGCACCACAAGCTTCAGCCATTAATTGGAGTTCTCGTCAAAACGAACGTTTGTCCGTGGTGTAGGTCTACTTTCAAATATATGCGCACAGCTCTTGATCACTTTTTTTTTCGGGCAGCAGAGGGCCACGGGCGATGCTACTTGGATTGCTCAAAGTGGGGGCACGAAGTCCAGGAACCTCCTGATTTGACTTGCGGTATCTGTGGGTTCCAGGCTCAAGACTTAGAGCAGCACCACTACCACGCCACGGGACATCACCCAGGGCCAGAAGCGGTTGTCGCGAGAGGGAGCGTGAGAGATGCCAGACGGACAGCTACCAGAGTGGGCGAAGAAGAGGGCGGCGGCGCCAGGAGGCGGATCGGCGGCGGCGGCATCGGGGGGGGCGGCAGGAGGAGGAGGAGCGGGCCAGCAGCGCAAGGAGGCACGGCGAGCAGTAGGGCAGAACGACGTCGAGGCATCGGTGACAACCCTACAGAAGTTAGCTTTGCGCGAGACCGCTGGCAACATGGAGCTGAGGAATTTCATGGACGAATTTTGGCTGCTACCGTTCGATTCGCACGTATCGAGGGAGTAGCTGGCCGCGGGCCAGGAGTACCAGAGGGACGTCAAAGAGGCAGGGAAATGCCACGGTCTCAGCCCCCCCCCCCCACTGCCGCGCGGCGGCGCGCACGATCAGCGCGATGGTCGACACGATAGACGAGCAGAGCCACGTAGACCAGGACGCCAAGCAAACGCTGATAGATCTGTTGGCCATAGCGAACACCAGGTACGGAATGCAGGCCATCGCAGAAATATTCAAGAGCTTCAAAGCCAAGGAAGCCTACAAGCACGCAGACACGGAGATGGGGGATCGCAAAGTGAAGTTGTCGTACTCCCTGAACCCCCTGCCGAGCATGCGTCTAGCCCAGGCCACGGCGAGGCTCGGAGCCCAGGACGCCCCGCCCCCTCAGACTCAAATCGTAAAAATCAAAGAGGCGATGGGACTAGTTCTCTTGGAGCAGAAAGCGAAAACCTCGATGGGGCCAGGACCTCGGACAGAGCTCGAGAGGGTTTGCGAGAAGCAGATGAAGGGCCTACTCAGCAAGAGCTAGAGGAGATGGCCAGAGTAGCGTCTATAGCACGTGATCCACGTAGACTTACAGCACTACGTAGCATGGCTATGGGCGGCCCAGGCAGACAGGCATCGCAGCATGCAGCGAGGCTTCTTAATTTGGTCGAGCGTTATCGGCAGCAGATACGAGACCAGCTGACTCATGCTACCTCTACCAGTACCCCTCGTACATAGATGCACAATAAGGTCACACATAGGGCTTCGTGAGGCATAGCGTATGTAGCTATTCTGATCAAGACCTGCATTTGGTTTATGTGTTTGAGTTCTGATCTGCAGCTTGCACTTCCGACAGCCGGGCAGAGATGGCCACCCAGGGCAGCTCAGGCGCTCAAGATACTCGTGCACTGCCAGCAGGCTCGCCTGAGGCAGCGTACTTGGAGGCGGCGACGGAATTGAAGAAGTACAAGTCCATTGTTCGGTGCTACGAACACCACGCATGGAGCCCAGCTCGGCATCCTCACTGACAGTCGCTGGGCAGCAGAGCACCAGTCCCAGAAACTCAGTGATCGCATTGCTGAAGTAGAGACTGACCCGAGTGCAGCAGCAGCGCGTGCAGCTGAGCTGGAGGAAATGAAGCGTGTCCGTGATGGATTGGGATCCTTTTTTGCAGTGATGAATAAGATGCGGCAGTCGTTCGATGACATTCTAGATGCGAACGTGGTGCACAGCCGCTCTGGCAGGCTTGGATAGTTCTCTGATCCAGCTCCAGATTTTTGTGAGACTGACTGGAGATATGATGCATGATGTTGCCACCAGCTCAGCGCCCCCCCTGAGAGCGCGACGATGGCCTGGATCCCCGCTGCTGCGCACTAGAGTAACTAGTGCAGGCCCCGATCGAGTTCGGCTTTGGGGGGCGGGCGGTTCGGTTTAGTCTAGTCTTCACGGCTACCAAGGAGCCTCGTCATAATTAAGGCAACGACTCCAGAGACCGACCAGTCAGGCTCGCAGAAATGAGGCCTCTTGCATTGTTTGCATTGCTTGCCACCTGCTTGCATTAGATGGCAGTGCGGGGTGAGGGGTGGGAGCGGAGCGGGGGGGGCTGAGAGAGAGACGCGCCCGCGGCCGCGCGTGTTGGACACGATGTTCGGCACGCTGCGGGGGGGCCCCATGGGGTTAGGGCGGCCCCTTGCGCGTGCGCGTGGTGCGTGAGTGTGCGTCGGTGCGCGCGTGCGTGGGTCGCCTTATCGAAAGTGGGATAGGCCCTGGTACCAGCCCTGCTCCTGCGCTGGCCCCCTGTGGGGGCCAGCATGCATGGACTGGGGTGTGGCTGCGCTTCTGGCGCAGGCACACGGTGCCAGGGGACTTATCTCACCTCACCGTCCCGCCGTCTTTTCGCGGCCGTTCCACAAGTTCCAGGACGGCCGCCCCGCCTGCCGCCGCCGCCGCCGCTGTCGTCGCAGCGAGCTCGGGGTGCAGGAGCGGGGGTGTACAGGGGGAGGTGCGCTCGCAGAGCGACTCGGGCAGCCTCCCCCTCCCGCGTTCTTGCGCCTTTGATGTGCGCAGGGGCCCCCCCCTTGCTGGATCTGCACCTTTCGCCTGGTTAGGCCTAGGCAAGAGGGCGCAGTAGGCCTGCGACGCCAGCCCGAAGGGCCGACGAGCACAGGCGCTCTTTATGAGCGTACCCGCAGGGGTGCTATAAGAGTTGCAAGTGTCTGACAGCTGCACCCCCAAGCGCCGATTCCGATTCCGATTCCTCCTCCTCCTCCTCTTCCTTTTCCTCTTCCTCTTCTTCCTCCTCCTCCTCCTCCTCATCCTCTTCGTCCTCCTGCTCCTCCTCCTCCTTCTCCTCCTCCTCCTCTTCCTCTTCCTCCACATCCCTAAGATTGTCGTCGCCATGGCGTTCCCGAATTTAGGGATAGGGGCAAGTTCGAAGCTGGTGCCAGGTCAGCGAGTCCGACTCCAGCTCAAAAAGTTGGGAGTTCGAGTCTCTACACGAGAGGCGTGATCATGATTTGCATTGCGTCCGTTGCATGCGTTCGTCGTTCTGCATGAGGCACGCCGTCCCCGCAAGCGGGACGACGCGTCCTTAATCGCTCGATCGACCTTTCACTTTGGGTCACGAGGCTGGTCATGGTGCCGGGGCTTCTGCCCCCCCTCCTCCTCCTCCTCCTCCTCCTCCTCCTCCTCCTCCTCTTCCTCCTCCTCCTCCTCCTCCCCCTCCTCCTCTTCCTTTTCCTCTTCCTCTTCCTCCTCTTCCTCCTCCTCCTCCTCATCCTCACCCTGCTCCTCCTCCTCCGTCTCCTCCTCCACATCTCTAAGACTGTCATCGCCCTGGCGTTCCCGAACTTAGGGATAGGGGCAAGTTCGAAGATGGTGCAAGGGCAGCGAGTCTGACTCAAGCTCAAAAGGTTGGGAGCTCGAATCTCTACACGAGGGGCATGATCATGGTTTGCATTGCGTCCGTTGCACGCGTTCGCCGTTCTGCATGAGGCACGCCGTCCCCGCAAGCGGGACGAGGCGTCCTTAATCGCTCGATCGACGTTTCACTTTGGGTCACGAGGCGGGTCATGGTGCCAGTGCTTTTGCCCCCCCTCCTCCTCCTCCTCCTCCTCCTCCTCCTCCTCCTCCTCCTCCTCCTCCTCCCTCCTCCTCTCTTCTCCTTCCCTCCTCTTCCTTCCTCTTCCTCCCTCTCTCCTCCTCCTCTTCTCCTCCTCCTCCTCCTCCTCCTCCTCCTCCTCCTCCTCCTCCTCCTCCTCCGTCTCCTCCTCCACATCTCTAAGACTGTCATCGCCTTGGCGTTCCCGAGCTTATGGGTAGGGATAAGTTCGAAGGTGGTGCAAGGGCAGTGAGTCTGACTCCAGCTCAAAAGGTTGGAAGCTAGAACCTCTACACGAGGGGCATGATCATGATTTGCATTGCGTCCGTTGTATGCGTTCGTCGTTGTGCATGAGGCACGTCGTTCCCACAAGCGGGACGAGACGTCCTTCATTGCTCGACCAGACTTTCACTCTGGGTCACGAGGCTGGTCGTGGTGCCGGGGTTTTTGCCCCCCCTCCTCCTCCTCCTCCTCCTCCTTTTCCTCCTCTTCCTCCCCCTCCTCCTCCTCTTCTTCGTCCTCCTCCTCCTCTTCTTTTCCTCCTCCTCCTCCTCCTCCTCCTCCTCCTCCTCCTCCTCCTCCTCCTCCTCCTCCTCCTCCTCCTCCTCTTCCTCCTTATCGGACGTTCACTTTGGGTCACGAGGCTGCTCATGGTGCCTGTGCTTCTGCCCCCGTGGCCGCTCACCAG